AGTACTTAAAGGGAGCCTGTAAGAAAGGTGGGGAGAGACTTGTTGGTACGGTCCATTGTGACAGGACAAGGGTTAATGGTTTTAAGCTAAAAGAGGGCAGATTTGGACTAGATAAAAGGAAGACATTTTTGACAACGAGGGTGATGAAACACTGGAACATGTTGCCCAGACAGGTGGTGGAGGAGGCCCCGTCCCTGGACACATTCGAGGTGAGGTTGGACAGGGCTCTGAGCAACCTGATCTAGTTGAAGATCCCTGCTGCCTGCAGAGGGGCTGGACTAGGTGACCTTTAAAGGCCCCTTCCAACCCAAACTTTTCTACGATTCCATGGATGCCCGTGTAATCTCTTTCCACTCACCCACAGATAGTAAAAAACGTGTCATCTCCCTTGCCTGTCTGTAGAAATGTATCACACCCACTTACAAATCATTCCAGGTTGGCCCTGTGCCACTCCAGATGCTGGCCTTCAACACTTTCTTCACCCAGACCTATGACTTTAGGTTTCGTTTGTTTTTGCTGTGCATGGTTTTGCAAGGAATTGCGTCCAACTTGCGACATGCAGCTAAGAAGAAAACCCCAACAACCCAGGATTAGCAGCTCAGCTCCATTTCTTCTGGGTTACAGTGTGAAAAAAAAAGTCTCGGAAACTCCTGTCTGAGCATTGCTGCCAAGAGAGTGGTGGTAGCAGCTCAGGTCCATAGACCGGAAGAGAATGTGATTTAGAAGGGATGAGAGGGGCTCCTACAGCTGTTTCTTACACATCTGCTTTCAGCTTGACCTTTTTTAAAAGACTCTGCTCTGTCTTCCCCTTTAAATTCGCGGAGGGTGACCATCCCAGCATTGCTCTTTGGGAATGCTTTTCTCTTGGTATCTTGCTGTGACTTTCAAGGAGGAATGGAAATTTTCCAAGGAAGATTTGAAGAAGGTGGTAACGGGTGGAAAAGCAATAGTTTGCGTAGCAAGAGCAAGGACACTGCAGGAGGGCAGGTGGGGAACGGTGCTGATCGAGGGCGATGTTCGAGGTAGGATGGAGTTTCAGTGACCCACGCTGCAAGGGCTGCTGACTCATAAAAAGGTGGAATAGCCAAAAGGAAAGCACTGATCCCAGAGCAATCGCATCCCATTACGGTATGTCAGAGAGGTCTTTGATTGCACAAGCCTGTCATTAGTTATGAAGAATTGTGGTGTTTCGGAAGAAAGAGGAGGCAACAAAAGGAATTGCTCCCTGGGTGATAATGTTCAAGGACTGCTTTAAATAAAGTAAAATTTATTCACTGTTGATAGATTTGTATTTATTTTTGCAATTTCAGAGTAAATGCCAACGATTCGGTAAAATTTAACAAATCTTAAGAGACCCCACAGCAAAGATCTGAAAGTGTAGGGATTAGTTTTAGTGCTTGGTTCCTGCATGTAAGAAACATGCTTAACCTCTGAAAATTATTTTGAAAATTAAGATCTCTTGGTTTTGTGATAAGAAAGAAAGGAAACAACTGAGTTTAATATGAACGGAAAATCGTAGTAATAGCTGCATTACATACTTGCTATAAAGAGTGAAGGGGAAAACCAGGGAACACCTTGGCGCTCTAAGCTCCCTCAGGCACAGGAACTGAATTTAACTACGCTGAGCACAGCTTTCCTCTGTTTTCCAAAGCCAAACCCCACCATAAATGGATAAAGACCCGCTTGCCAACCATGTCCATCCCTCTGGCTGTGTGAATCTTCACAGCGTGGATATTTTAACACGCACAACGCTCCACTCCTAAACTCATTAACTACATTTTATTCATATATTGAAAGAGTACATACATGTGTCAGTAGCATACATTGCATCAGCTCCTCTTTACTAAAAAAACCCTCCAAGTATATATAGCCTTAAAATGCTCCCACTGTGGCTAGCAAGTCGTACTACACCTATGCTTACAGAACTACCATTCTTACATTGTTGTCTGTCTTTTAGAATCCATTAAAACCCATCAGGCGGCATGTTCTGTTATCCTTTCTCACTGTCCTCATGGTCTTCACAGTTGCCATAAAGTATGAAAATGCATAGTTTATTTACTATTCAAAACAGTTTCTTTTACAGAATATAGGCTATGGAGACAAAACCATTGTTGCATTTGGAAAGGTGGAAAGTATTTGCAATGTTCAGTGATTTCTGTTGTTACGGCTGCATTCTGCAGCTTTTTCATTGGGAGCAGGAAGAGCAGAACAAGGCTCTTGTTGAGCCTGCCTTTGTTTAATCCTGCAAAAAGGTACTGCAACCTTTTCATCAGCTGGTGCTTTTACTACCCTTCTTAGCTGCTTTGGCTCCTGTCCACTAACTCAGCAGGACAGGTGGGTCTGTGTTGGACTCCAGGCTCCTCCTGAAGCAAGGAGTGATGCTGAGATGGGCTTCCTGACCAACCAACACAGCTACTCAGCACAAGCAGCAGCCTACCTGCAGAAGTAATTTCGCCCACTTTATTCTTCTGGTCCCATGTGAATGAGCTAGGCTCCTGTGGATCACTTTATCTTCTTTATTAAGCCTGTCTCTGCAGAGATCATTTTAATTTAACTCGATAGCCAAGTCTGAAAATCCCCTTGGCTCTTGAAACATACAAGCTCCTGGTATTGATACACAAGCCCTTTTCCACCATTCTTTTGCTTCCCTTCAAGTAAAAAATGCCCAGATACAATTTGTCTAAACTTAGCTTTTACCTCTGAGTGATGCTCCTTGCTGAGTGAACGGTACTCATAGTGAGCCTGAAAAGAAAGTGCTGGCGTGTTGAGAAATACCCCTCATCAGAATATCTGACTCAGTTTAAACATGCAGGCTCGACAGAAAAGCAATAAAGACGCCTTCCCACAGCACAGCTTAAAGAAACCTCACTTGCCAGCCATACTACCTTTAAAAAGGAATCTGGAAACATGGTAAGAAATAGCCTCCACAGACACATGGCAGCCATACAAATTGTCTCTTTGTTCTGTTGGATTTGTTGGTGTAGTCCTAGCAGAGTTATTGCTAAAAACTCCTGCAGAGACTTGGTTTGCATCTACTGGGCTGGTTGAACCATGAGGACTGACACTGCACTGGGATTTGGAGTGCAGGGCTCGATACTTCAGATGGCTGGATGGGCTAAGTTACCAATGTAATTAAAAATAACCCCAGGATGAGTGCCTCTACAGGAAAGAAGCCTAACACATATTATAAAAGCAGAATAAAATGAGTTATGCCTCTGGCAGGCCAGTAATAATTTTATTTCATAGTAGTGTGGCAAAAGTTGGGGAAGGCTGTGATATGCCAGGTCAGTGGCAGGTTATGACTCCTCACGGGAGTCCTTGTGCATCATCCACTTCTGCAGCACTGTTCACATCTTGGATGTCAGACAGCCTGTGAGAACATCTCTGTTTGTGATAACAGGCCATGTTTCACATGTCCAGAGCAAAAACGTGAAGCTCGCCCTGCACAGAGATGGTGAGATAGCCCTGAATATGAAGGAATAAAGGACAGCTTCCTTTGCTCTGCTTTAGGCAAAGCCTTCCTGTTATACAAGGCAGCAGTGGAGCAGCAAGACATGATAGAACAACCTCGTGCGCCAAGTGGTATGAAAACTTAAAGAAACATATTGTCTAAGTGACCAAACAAGGGCTCTGAAACAAAATTTTGTTAGGGAAGGGTCCCTTTTGCTGCCCTGACAGAGGCTCTGTTGGCAGAACTACCCTACCTGGGATGCCTGAATGTCTTAGTCTGCAGCCACCCACAACACCAATGCAGCACAGCCTGTTCCAACGCTCCTGTTCAACCTCCAGTGGACTGGGACCTGGCAAAAGCCTGGAGCCACCAAGAGGAAACCTTTCATAGAGGCAGGGTTAGCTCTAGCCTGGAACAGATCCAGCTGCCTTGGCTTCAGAAGACTCAGTGATACCAAAGTCATGTTCAGATCTCATATTGCTTGTGATGACCCAAACCTGAATGTATTGCTTGTGAGCTGTCCTGGGGGAGAGCAGTGGAGAAGAAATAATCTCCTTGTGTACAGATGAGCTACAGCAAAGAGTACCTGAACGTAGATGTGTGTTTCAGACTAAGCTTAAGCTGTGCCTTAAAGAATGAGAGATCACAACAGATTTACTGGTTACAACACCCCAGAACCTACTGGGATCATCAGGAAATTATGGCTTATGGCAAAATGGGGTGGATTTCTGGAATACCTATTGAAACAGAAAGTGGACGGAATTTGTAGTTGATTCATTCATGGCACCATGCAGACCTCTGTTATTTTCTGTGTTAGGATCTCACAGTCCAGAAGTGACATGCTCTTCTTTTCCTGGCTACCCCATTACTATGGGTTGGGCTACTTGTTATACACAATTTATTGCTGAAATACTGAGTAACAGAAGAAAAATGGCAATAGTTTTTTACTTTCCCTATAATCTTCAATGAATTAAAATGATGCCTTGGACCCACTGTAAACCACAAAGACAGATTTTGAAGATGGACCTCAAGAAAGCAAAACAAAGTGTATTCTAGAAAATTAGTTTGCTTTTACAATTCATCATGAACCATGAAGAATTTGCTCTAGTTTTAAAATCATTACTAACAAGTTAGTTTAAGTTCATATGGCTCACTCTTCACGAGATGTTCAATTCAAGGTAGTTTTCTGGGTAAAATTTAGATTATTCTCTTAAAGTCAACACTAATCCTAACGCACTGCACTGTCCTCCAGATGACTGCAGGCTGCAAAGTGTCTTTGAAAAAGGACAAAACGGACATGTCATGCAGTAACCAAGTAAATGCAATCCCTGATTAATATGCAAGTTTGAAAAGTTCAGAAAATGTCATCATACTCCATAGGTGCACCCTGTATTTGGAAAGGTCTCTTTGTTTTGTTTATGTATAAATGTCATTCTACATTAATTTCACTCCAGCAGCTTTTCATAAACTCAAGTCAATGATGATATGTTCAAATATTTGAGTGTTTCCTTTAAAACTAGAGGCAAAGAAAAAATCTCTTCGATCTGTTGACACAGCTGTGAAGGACCGCGGTGCTTGCACATAGATTTCTTTAAATAATCTGAAGATCTTCTTTTCTCCATCCCACTGGTAAATCTGGGAGAAGGTATAGTCACTTCCTAAGGCTAGGTAGTGGTTGTTCTTGAAGGAGAAGGGCTGCAGCGTCATGGCTCCTCGGGAGGGAAGGGCCTGGATCTCCACAAACTGCTTGCTGTTCCACTTCATCACTCTGGAGTCACCGATGAACCGTGTGAGCGTGAGGTACAAGTTATCCTGCATCCTGAAACTCTTCACAGCCAAGACATCTTCCATGTTGGGGATTTCACTGTGTGGGACAAACTTTTTAGAAACTCTGTTCCACTGGAGTATAATGGGGACCTGGGAGCGGCTAGACAGGATTAAATGTGACTTGCCATCGATATTGAGAAACTCGGCATCCGTGTCCCTGAACCATTCGTGAAGGGACTGGTATGAGTAAAATCCTTTGTTATTCCACTTATACACTGTGGACAAACCTGCTTTAGAGCTATCTGCTATGACAAAAAACATTTCACTGTCTATCTCAAAAAGCTCTATATCATTTGGCTTGGAAATACGAGATACTTCGATATCCTGGAATTTGACAAACTTTGTCCAGCTTTCGTCATACTTGTAAATGTGTGAGCCACCAAAGAGCTGTGCCACCACCACAAAGACTTGGTCACCAACAAGAATGGCTTTACATCCCACTATGGACTGACCTATTGCCCAAAGGAAAAAAAGGCACATGTATTAGCACAGTACAGAGCACCCTTTAAATCGCGGAGAGATCACCAAACCAGCCCTCCCCCTTTCTTTAATTAGCACCATCTCATAATTTGGTCTTCTGCTACACACCATCAGAACTTGCTTTCATGCTTTTTTCCTCCCAGTAACCAAAAAGATGGCTTCAAATGTCGGAAATGTCACACATTTCATGGTGTGCAACTACGGTGCACCCTAAAATGCTCATTCCTTTTTATCCAGAATACTTTTTCTTTCTCTGTTTATTCAAACACATGCCCTCTAATATCTACAACAATTATTTAAGCCAAATTTTATCATTCCAAAATAACAAGAGTTGTTGTCTCATGACTCAGTAGGAATCTGAAATTCTCTTATTCTTGGAATGTCTATCTTCTCACCTTAACTAGAAGAATGAAATATAGTCTGTTTTTCTTCCTCCAAGAGGGCCAGAGTCAGCTTTTTGCTACTGTAAATAGAAATATTGAGGCATCTTGTGGATGTATCACTTGACAGCAGCATGAAAAAGATAAATCTGTGTTGTTTCTGTTAACCATTCTTGAGATTATGTTAAAATAGAAATATTTAGGAATATTGCAGTTGCCAGATTAGATCAGACTGGGTTATAGCCTGTTTTGAGACTGTCAAGTCACTATACAAGAATCACATCAGACAAGTAACAGCGAGGCTATTTTTGAAAGGTTCGGCTGGAAGAAGAGAGGAATTCCTCTCTGAAGGGCATGGTTTAGTTAGACTGTAACTGCACAGATTCCCCAATGCATGTTTGGTCACATCACTACAGGAGACTCGTCCTGGCACCTCTGCTGGTCCCCAGGCCACAGCTGTTTCACTGCCAGTCTGGGATGATCTACCACCCAGGATTCATCTCAAGTCCCAAAAGGTATCTGCAGTGCAGACATGAACGCTCGAGCTGATCATCCAGGCTCTTTCTGGTCTAACTTAGTCCAAAAGCACTCTAGAAGAGATTTCACCCAACCTGTAGATGTCTCCTTTTGAAGAGGACAGCAACACCTATTCTCTGCACATTGACTGTAAAGGCAATCTTGACAACTAGCTCAGCTCCATAAGCCCAGCAAGTAACAGCTCTAAAGACTCTGTCCCTGCTCTCATGGTGTGCCCGAGCACCACCAGTGTGCCCCATGAGTTAGGGACAGAACAGTTGTTAGCATTAGAAAATCACCTGGTATCCACATGGGCATTCTGAGAAATAATCTGGCCAGGATGCTAATTCAGCATGTTTGTAAATGGAAGTAAACGTGGAAGCTTTGCAGCACATCCCTTGAGGTAACCACCATGGTTTAAATACTTCTGTTATCTGTGGGTGTGCTTTCCTGGCCAGCCCACCCTAGAAGCAACCTTGAGGCCCATTTCCTTCTACAAGCAGTATCTTTATATTCTATTTTGCAGGCACTTTGGCAAGAATGAGGGCTCCATGAACTTTAACCTGCTGTGTGATTCAGGCAGTGAGTGCCAAGATGGGCCACAGTATGACATTCACAGGAAGAGTTTATGCCTTCAGAACAATTTACAAGATCAGACAGGAAATGTCTAGTTTATGTGCCACAGTGAGGCCAAAGAGGAGGACCCTGAGAACTACCGACCCGTCATCTCACATCTGTGCCTGAGAAGATAATGGAACAGACCCTCCTAGAAGCTACGCTAAGGCACATGGAGGACAGGGAGGTGATCTGAGACAGTCAGCATGGCTTCAGTAAGGGCAAGTCCTGCCTGACCAACCTAGTGGCCTTCTAACATTGAGTGACTACATCAGTGGACAAGGG